TTGTCTCACAGGCAGTGCCTTCTCATCCTGACCAAATCCCATTCTGCCTAATTTCCTCCTGCAATCTGCATATGTTCATTGCTCCAGTTGATACACACTTTAACTTTCAGCATAAAAGCAAACACTGAAGTCTAACAGGTTTGCAGTATCTTTTAGAGCCTTCCAGATAAGATGTTTGACAAAGAGAGTATGCTTTCAGCCACCAGGTCATCAGTGGGTGTTTTGTTCGAAACTGTCTATCATGAAATTGTTCCCAGCATGGCACTACTGCCCATTAAAAAATCTGCAACATTAGTGTGTACCCACAGCTCAGTGCAGTTCCTATAATGACTGCTTTATTTATTCACTCCAGTGTCTCTGAAGATCAGATTATCATTTAATTCTAAACAAACTGCCTACTGTGAACATTTGTAAGAGAGCAACCCATTAAATTCAACATTTATTCAACTGCTCTGATTTGCTTGCAGTATTATGACAATTCCCTTCTTTTAAAAAATATGGCTTTAGTTCTATATATCTTGTTTTGCATAATTTGTTATAACATATGAAGTATTTCGTTTTCATCCACATGATTTAGAAAAGAACTTACAAATATAAATCCAGGCACATTCACTGGCAACTGAATAAAATCCAGTCTCTGTAATCACAGGCTTTTAATCAGATTTTAAGACATCTTTATAATTACTTAGAATCAGAAAAATGGGCAGATAGAAACACACACATTTTGTAGTAAGCATGTTTTTAAAAACTGGTGTATTCAATGCGTAGTCAAAGTGAAGATGCTGGACTGAAAAAAATAAGGTATTATTTTTTCCAAGTATACTGCCCATTTATGCATACTGATAAAAGTCTATTCAGATGAAAGATGATTTCAAATTTACATGATCAGTTTATATACATTGATTCAATACTCACAGCCTGAAATTTGTGCCAAAAACCCTCCCACTGAACTCAGAATTTGGGCCTGAGGTTGGAGTACAGAACTGCAACTATGCATATGCTGAGAAGGTGCCTATTAAAACACACTTTCTACACACTGAAGACTGTATTATTTTCCAGACAGTGCCCCAAAGCAATATGAAAAATGTGCAAGAGCTTATTCAGGAATTTCTTTTAAGTCGGGGTTTAAGGTTTGAATGCATTTTCTGAAGCACAGTGTCATCAAATAGGGTCAGTTTGTAAGCTCCTTCTGCTTTTAATAAAGCAGAAAATAAATCAAGAAATCTCTTAGATACAAAGAAGATACCACTTTTCCCCACCTCATGTAACTCTCTCATGCAGAACAAAAAATAATAGGGGTATATGTTTTTATTTTTTATTTCCCCAAACTTCCAATATTCATCTATGACCTTTCATTTTCCATTGCAAAATAAAAAGCATGTCAGAACACAATACCTAACCAAATAGAAGACATGCTTAGTGATGAATCAAAAGAATATAGTGGATAACAGCCAAAAGGCAATTTTAAATTTCCATTTGTTCTGACCATATGCCATAAAGATATAAAGACTGTGCTAGACAAAGGCTGTTTTCCTTGGAAATATTTATCATGGGAGATGTTTATAAAATGAAGTAAGTTATTTCTTGACTGAAGCACAAGAAATGTAATTGTTTTCTAATCTTGTTTTAAGTCACAAGCAGTGTCTTGAAGAAGTCCCTGAAGAGGTTACTGTTCAAAGGCTGCAATGAATATTATCAACGGAAAACAGCCCACCGTGTTCTCTAGTTGAGACCTCTACTTCTCAACAATATAGTTTACCTACTCCCTTATCTCTCTATAAACTCAGAGTTGAAGCCCAAATAATGTTTCCAGCACCCTTCTCCTTCCACTTTTAGCAACATAACATGCTTGAATTTATTTCTGTTATTTTTATAGTTCATGACAGTCATGGCTATCAGACAGTGTCTGACACAGATGGTAAACTGTATTATGATGTAGTTGTAGCTACACTATTTTTCCAGTTCCATATGCAAACTCAGCAGCATGACAAGGGACAAAAGAGCAGGAAGGGCATAGAGAAAGAAAATCCTTTCCACCTAATCCTTCTCAATTTCAATTTGCAGAATACACTGTGAGCCAAGATCTGACAAGGGAAGATTGACTGGTGCTATTTGGTTTCCTGACTGCAGGAAGTTATACATAGGCCACCAGAAACAACCAGTCACAATTTCCTCCACAAACATAATTTAGCAGAGAAAAATAAATACATGAACAAGGATTAAAAAACTGAATGGTTCCAAGCAATAATGCATAGGGAAAAAAAGGATTAAATAGAAAAAATAGTACAGAAGCAGCAGCTACTTGAAAAGATAGACTAGGGAAATTAAAAACAATAAAGGGGTAAATTCATTAAGTGCTTGATGTCAGAAGATCCAGAGGGCATACTCAATGAGGTTCTCAATAAAAGGAGGGATTTCTAGGCAGTGAAGACATTAAAATAGTGGCAAATAACTGGCAGGAAAGATTTCAGCATGGGCTATACAAATCTTCTGGAGACCCAGAGATACACTCAGGCTGTAAACCCACATCATCATTATCTCATCCATGCATTCGCTATCCACACTAGCTGGTTTACAGCTAGCACGGCCACATCAATCAGCCGTGCAGTCAGATCCTCAGTCACACAGGCTGCCATCTGCTCGCAGTGTATCACGAGCAACAGCATATTTCCACCGACACGCTGTGTGGGTGCAGTCCCACAGCACTCGAGCCAACACAAGGTAGGGCTGCCATGGCCCCCAGCTGTCTTGGCTGCGCGGTCCTTGGCCGTTGCATCAGCACTGGCACCCAAGCGATCGCATCAGTTCAAGGAGCTGCTTGTTGTTGTAGACAACAGCAGAAGCAACTGGTTTTCCATGGGATCAGCTGCCTAAGCTGGCTCGCTGCTCCATTACATCAACAGCAGCGCTGGCTCAAGGGAGGCACCAAGACGATGGGGCTGGGGTTAGGAGGGTGGGACTATGGCAGATCTACATTGGCTCAAATTGCCACAAAACTCAACATGCAGCAACTAGCCTCACATCACATTGTATCTAGATTCATAATGCTCACCCAGACCATAACTAAATATCCATAAGCTGGCACTGCCATCAGGGGGAGGAATCACTCGCCTCTAAGTTTCCTCCCAATCCTGATCCCTTCTTTGTGGTGTCACCAGCACCAGTATGACCAGAGACACGATCCTCACAGAAATAAAAGATGGGTACTGCTACCGTGGGTAAGTTCCCTCTCCTGTTTCACTGAGCAGCTGCACAAAAGCACAACGCAGCAGACACTGAAGGCTGGGCAGACCTTCTCCTTTTGGCAGTAATGCTGATTCAAGCCACTTTAAGTTAAGCTATGTCCTATCTATGACATACACTTACAAATCCAGAAGGAATTATCACAATAACCTACCCAAATAGAAGGCAGAGAACTACTCTGTAGTCAGACTACAGCATATTCCCAAAGAAAAATTCACGTCTTGATGAAGTCGCATCCTATAACAACTTGTTCCACTGATTGTCTGGCCTTTCAGTTAAAAAAAAAAAAAAAAAAAGTGCTGGCTATTTGCCACTTCCAAGGACTGGACCTTGCCATACATTTGCTGCACTGAAGGTTCTGTCCTTCAAGTCAAATTTGAGCAAGTCACCCTGTAATATTTCCTTTATCCTCTCAATCCCCTCACCGTATTGGCTTATTTTCCAATTTTATCATCAGTTTCATTACTTTTCCCTAATCTTCTCCAATTTAACAAAATCATTCCTCAATTATGGAAGCCAGAATGGAAAACATTATTGTGACAGTGCTTGCTCCAGAGCCCAGGAATTAAGGTAAAATGTCCTCTTTATGAGGATATTTTACATTTATCATTACATTAAGGTAAAATGTCCACTGAATAGCCATCAAGACACTCAACTATTTGTCAGAATAAGTGCTTCAAGTCTGTATTAAGAGAATTCTCTGAATGTGGCTTTGCTTGTTCATTCCTTCACGTAACAGCTTTACATTTGATTTATTGAAACAACAGTGGCTCTCCTTCTATCTTAATAGAACGAGACAGACTAAGGAAATGGCCTATCGCTCATGTGCTTCGAGGTGTTCCAGTAACCATCCATCCTATAGTCCTACCAGGGTAAGAATAGAGGACTAGTCCATCTCGACCAGCAATGACACGCCTAGAATCAGATGTTTCAAAGAACGGTGCTGCTGGCAGGAGTGAAGTAATCTTTTCCATGATTTCTACTTACCTCTAAAACTTAGAGGCAGCCTTGAGCCCTCAGATGCAACATTTTCTACATTTACTACATGACTCAGTTAAGACAATGATAGATATTCTTGTGTCTCTATATATTTACATCTAAGTTCTCAGTCCCAGAATTTAATCCAGGGTCACTCCACTCCTTTTAGTCAGTCCACGTGCAGTATGTTCCTCAGTTTAGTCACATCTTGTGTACGAAAGCACTTACTGTCATTTTTTTTCCATTTCCTACCTTTCCATTTCACTGACTCACTCTTGTATTTAAAGACAGACAGGTCCTGCTTCTCTAGAATTCCTGTTTTCACATGGGAGCTCTTCAGCACAGCCCTGCTAATACTAACAACAGCCTCTGCTCCCATTTAAGTGACTTTTGACAAGACATATAGCGTCACCACCCCATGTAGCAATGCCTTTTCTGCAAATTGCTGAGAAAATTATATAAGATTTAAAAATCGGTCTGAAGATACAAAGGAGTATTTTTATAATACTGAAAATCACTGACCTCTCAAGTATTTAAAACATGTCAGCTTTGACTATTTTTAGCTTTTTTTGACCGAAATCATTGTGAATTATGCTCACATAAGTAGACCTGGCATTAATTTCCACGATGATGGAAGCTTTGATGTACTGAGTTCTATACAGCTCTAAACAGTTGAAGTGATCAATAGCAAAGCTTACACAATTGCAACGGGTAGAAAGGTAAAAGGAGAATTCAGAAAGCCATTATCAGGAAGTCAGTAGGTGCATCACATAACTTACCAAACAGCCGCTGATGGAAGAGAAATTTCCCAGCTATCAGTCCTGTGAGAATGGCAAGCAGCCACAGAAACACCTTCAAAAATCTCCAGCCTCCTCCTTCAGGGTATTTATTTGTTACAAAGGAGAAGCAATTGCCCACAACAATAACATTGGCTTCTGTCTGACTGTGAGATACTGGGTCCTCAGCAAATATTAAGAAGTTAAAGAAGATCACTAAGTAAGCCACAACTAAGCGAGACCACGGGTGCTGGAAGTAGTAGCGGAAGTCTTTATCCATCCTCAGATACTGCAGGACTGTTCTTTGCCTGTGTGTAAAGACACAAATGCACAATGTTATACATACTCAGAATTCTCAGAGCTTAGGAGATACCTGCACATTACAAAAATCAAATCACTGTAACCTTGTCATCAGTAATTTTTAACACCTCAGAGTTGACTAGCAATGAAAGTTTCAGTCAAAAGATACTGTTAGATCCAGGTAGAAAAAAACTGAAATTTCTGCCCATTCTGATGTAAAAAAAACAAACGAACATACATACATTATAGGACAGGATTTTTAGTCTCAAACATGTCTATACTATCTCTTTAAAATTACAGCTCCGTAATGGGGCACAAAAATACAGCATGTAAGAACATGACAGGCTATGTGAAACTCCAAGTGCCTTTCCTGCCACATTCCAAAAAATACAACACAGATTTCACAAATGTCCATACCAAGCCTAAATTGAATCTTTCTCCTTATAGGAGAAGGATGGAACAAGCCCCTAAGTCCAGTGAGGTCTTCTACTGCCTCATCTCCTGGAAGCTTACAAGCGTGTACTCCAGCAACATCAGAAACTTGTGTTTATATGGAGGAATAACACGATGGAAAAGTTGCTAGAACTATTCCTTGCAGGTCAGGCAAGCCTGTGGAAATCTTTTCACTGACTTCAGGGAATACACCTATAATTAAGTGTATTTTCAAAACCAGAAAATAAAGAGTGCCCTGAGCACAGACTGTTTTGTACGGATACAAGAATTGCATTTTGAAACTTGCCTACTTATTAAGTACTGCTACGGAAAAATGCAACTGAGCATGGTTAATGTTTCAGTTGTTTGCCACTTGATTTCTTTTTCTTTTATTCATAACAAATTAGTTGTTTCATCCTCTTGAACTGCTTTGTATGCACAAAGATACAAGGCCTTTGTGTTGTGGAACACCGCAATTATTCAAGGGACAGTGCAGGAAGAAAAGAAAGAAAGAAAAAAAAAAAGAGTATCTAATAATATTGCTTGTTTATAACAGCATGATCCTTGAAGGATACAGTGTACTTAATTGAACAGTACAGATTTTTGCAAATGTCATATGCCCTGAAGGAAAAAAAAAACCCAAATCCAAATCACAACAAAAGACCTAAAAACCCCAATCAATTACTCATCCCTTCTTGGACTTCTGACTAAGTATCACTTTGCAAACTTACAAACTGCTTGAATTACAATATCTCCATCTAGGTAGTCACTTCAAAATTATTTAACTCTATAACCTGATTTATATTTGTAAAATTATAAAGAATCCTGTACCCATTCAATCAATAGGATAAAAGAACCTCTCTGCAGATTCAGACAACGCATTCAGTAAATAATAAAAATGAATAATGTCCCCTTATGCATAAATTTCATATGAAAAAGAAAAAAAAAACCACATTAGAGAGTTAAAAAGTTGGCACAGGGAAGCGTCAGACCTTTGAAAACTTTATGAATAAAGTGATTTAAAGCAAGGGTCGTTGGCCCAGCTGCCTAAGGAAACAACACTTCGGGGAGATTAAACCGCCCTTAGAGCCCTAAGGATGCTCAAAGCTATTTTACTTCTCCCTTCCTCCTGTTCACGGGAAGAAAAGTTTTGGCATTTCCTCATGTGTATGAACCATCTTAAAGCCCGAATGGGGCTGGAGATAAACAACTGTATGTCCCGACATTTTTGGCAGCTGCCGGATACCCGAGAGTGACCAGGTGCCCAACCGAAGGCGCAGCTCCCTAGGTCTGCAGCCTAAGAAGCCAGCATTGGCACGAGCAGCGGTGCTAAACCGCCAGCAACCAGCCCGCTCCTGACCCCCTCGACGCCAGGAAGGAGGGTGCCGCGCAAGCCGCGCACCCGGCGCCCA